TTTTCAAAGCTACCTTATACTTATGTCATTAGATGATAGTGGTAGAACAACATGGGCATCAAAAGTTAAAAGTCTTCTTTTTAATTTTGATTTTTGATATGTTTGGCTGAGATTACACAATGCCATTTAGAAAGTGGTCAAATGTAACATATGTTATATTTGGGATTACACTTTCTTAGTAAAGTACAAATTCTAGTACTTTTTTTGAGTTGAGCCCCATCCGGGATTCGAACTCACACCCTCAGAGTCAGGCACCTAATCGCCAGCACACAAAGTCAGTCGCCTAACCTATTCAGCTACCGCGACTTTCACAAAGTAGCTGAATAGGTTAGGCGGCTGACTTTGTGTGCTGGCGATTAGGTGCCTGACTCTGAGGGTGTGAGTTCGAATCCCGGATGGGGCTCAACTCAAAAAAGTACTAGAATTTGTACTTTTATTAAGAAAGTGTAATCCCAAATATAACATATGTTACATGTTTAACTTGAGCCAAGATGTTGGTGATGTAAAGATGTCTATAAGCTTATTTAAGCAAAGATTATTATATAATTTAAAACATTCCTGGTACTCTTCCCTGAGTAATTCCTCCAAATGCAACTATTATCAGTATTTTAAATCAGCGTTAACTGTTGAATGTTATTTATCGTTTAACCTTTCTACACATTTAAGAGCTGTTTTAGCACAATTTAGGTGTAGTGATTTTAAAATAGATGTAGAAACTGGGCGTTATAACAACACTGATTATAATCAAAGATTTTGTACATCATGTAAATCTAAAGGTCTTACCCATATTGAAGATGAATTTCATGTACTGTTCATTTGTGAATCCTATTCACAACTAAGAGAGAAGTTCATTACAAAATGTGTTAAAAAGCCTTATACTGTATATTCTTTAGCAAATCTTTTCAAGAATACTAATGTAGACACTATAAAACATGCCTTGTTGCCTTGTATCTATTTTATGTTAAAAGGATTATTATAAACACACTAGAATGATCATTGTGCCCCTGACTACACTGGAATTTCCTTTTGGATGTAATTTGGGCCTACGGCCTTTCACTAGAAATAAACTCTGTCCCTGTCTGTCTGTAAATATGTGTTGTTGTTTTTCAAAAAACCCAACTCATTTAAGCTTTGGACCTAAAATGTTTATGTATTCAGACTTAGCCTCGTCACTATATGGCTGAAATAATAGCGATGCGACGTAAAACTCAACTCAACTCATCTTGTTACGTAGTTCCATTAGGATCGACGGTCAGGTGACTTCGAGCGTTATTTTTAGTACTCTCTGCATGTCGAAACACGTATAGAATAGTTTAATTTATTCCTAAATAAAATATTTCCGAAAAATTACCATTATACCTGTGTCTACTCTGTATGTTTATGTAACGCTATGTGTGGTCACTTGGTGTTATTGCCACTCTTAGCAGAACCATGACACATAATTAACAAAGATAGCTTCGTGCTTTAGCTGTGAAATATGTTCTTTAATAAAACATGCGTTTTGCAAACGAGAAACATCGTCATTGACTGTTGTTACGTAGTAATCGGTTGTACCTGGCTTGTCAGTCAAGACGTGATGACGTAATTTTACGCCGATATATTGGCCACAGTCGGTTTACTCATGACTTTCTGTTGCAAAAGAATGGGGAATGACCTCCTGTGTGTATCTCTGTGTGAAGGGTTCAACATCTTTACATCACCAACATCTTAGCTCAGCCAAACATGTAACATATGTTATATTTGGGATTACACTTTCTTAATAAAGTACAAATTCTAGTACTTTTTTTGAGTTGAGCCCCATCCGGGATTCGAACTCACACCCTCAGAGTCAGGCACCTAATCGCCAGCACACAAAGTCAGTCGCCTAACCTATTCAGCTACCGCGACTTTCACAAAGTAGCTGAATAGGTTAGGCGGCTGACTTTGTGTGCTGGCGATTAGGTGCCTGACTCTGAGGGTGTGAGTTCGAATCCCGGATGGGGCTCAACTCAAAAAAAGTACTAGAATTTGTACTTTATTAAGAAAGTGTAATCCCAAATATAACATATGTTACATGTTTGGCTGAGCCAAGATGTTGGTGATGTAAAGATGTCTATAAGCTTATTTAAGCAAAGATTATTATATAATTTAAAACATTCCTGGTACTCTTCCCTGAGTAATTCCTCCAAATGCAACTATTATCAGTATTTTAAATCAGCGTTAACTGTTGAATGTTATTTATCGTTTAACCTTTCTACACATTTAAGAGCTGTTTTAGCACAATTTAGGTGTAGTGATTTTAAAATAGATGTAGAAACTGGGCGTTATAACAACACTGATTATAATCAAAGATTTTGTACATCATGTAAATCTAAAGGTCTTACCCATATTGAAGATGAATTTCATGTACTGTTCATTTGTGAATCCTATTCACAACTAAGAGAGAAGTTCATTACAAAATGTGTTAAAAAGCCTTATATACTGTATATTCTTTAGCAAATCTTTTCAAGAATACTAATGTAGACACTATAAAACATGCCTTGTTGCCTTGTATCTATTTTATGTTAAAAGGATTATTATAAACACACTAGAATGATCATTGTGCCCCTGACTACACTGGAATTTCCTTTTGGATGTAATTTGGGCCTACGGCCTTTCACTAGAAATAAACTCTGTCCCTGTCTGTCTGTAAATATGTGTTGTTGTTTTTCAAAAAACCCAACTCATTTAAGCTTTGGACCTAAAATGTTTATGTATTCAGACTTAGCCTCGTCACTATATGGCTGAAATAATAGCGATGCGACGTAAAACTCAACTCAACTCATCTTGTTACGTAGTTCCATTAGGATCGACGGTCAGGTGACTTCGAGCGTTATTTTTAGTACTCTCTGCATGTCGAAACACGTCAATATACATTCTACATCTGCACCGGTGATTTTTCTATCAGTTGGGGCTGGAATTGAGTGTACAGCCCTACTGTCATCAGTCATCAACAGCATGAGCATCGATCTACGCAACTGCGATAAGATGACATGTATCAACCCAGTCAGCGAACTTGACCACCCGATCCCATTAGTCGCTTCTAACGACAAGCATGGGATACTATTTACAGATCAATTCTAATCGGATCTTCACTAGTCGCCATTATAATGTGTGAGATGAATTTTCCTTCGCAGAAACGGATAACTGTAAACTCATTTAATGTTTTGATTGTATATTTTTGACAACACATTTTGCTGCACGTGCTGTTCACAAGGACCAGCCCTATAAAATGCAACCTCAAACCTGGTTGAAACATTCACATTACAACGTCAGCAGGATGCGGCGACACGACAGCTTAGAGGAAACAGGCGCAAGGAAGACTTGAAGCTGGCCACACTGCACAAGCCGTTGCCAATCACTTCCAGGTCAACGTTCGGACCATCTGCAGGCTGCAGCAACGTTTCCGGGCCACCAACACCACACATGATCGCCCCCGTACTGGCAAACCAAGGGTGACCACAAGACGACAAGACCACCATGTTATGCGACAGCCTGTAAAGAATCCCTTCATGCAGGCATCCGAAACAGCACGTCAGACAGTGGGATCACACGGAAGACCAGTCAGTACTGATACAGTACGCCGACGTCTTAACAGCGGAACCTCCATTGCCGAAGACCTTACCGTGGACATATCCTCACCCCTCGCCATCGGCATGAACGTCTACAGTTTGCCCTACAACACCAAAACTGGCGATACAGGCATTGGAGAACTGGTCTGTTCACAGATGAGAGTCGGTACTACGTATCAACTGCAGACTGCAGAACAAGAATATGGCGACGACGTGGCCAGCGTTATTCAGACCAATGTGTCATGGAAGGAGACTCATTGGGAGGTGCAAGCATCATGGTATGGGGTGGAATATAGGCCTGAACCTACCTGAGAGTGGGTCCTGTGGTGTTCCAGAACCTTGGTCCAGGGAGAGGAGACGGCATCACAGCGGTGCGTTACATCGATCTCTCAGACCCCACGTCATACCACATTTCGCACGTCACCGGAACAACATTTTCCAGTATGATAACGCCCGGACCCATACAGCTAGAGCTACACGGGACTTCCTACAGCAGAACGGTGTCAACATTATCCAGTGGCCAGCCCTTAGCCCTGATTTAAACCCAATTGAACATCGTTGGGAAGAAATTCAGAGGAGACTGAATGATGTCATACCAAGGCCCAACACAGCCGATTTATTGCGCCAGGCCTTTCTCAGAGCGTGGTTCCAGGTGCCAATGGCCTTCATCAATCGATTGGTGCACACCTTTCACAGACGCTGTGCTGCAGTTATTGCCGCTCGTGGTGGTCACACTAAATACTGAAGTCAAGAGTCTGAATTGACTGCAAACGTTCACGTAATGTCTTGAAATTGTTATTTATTGATGTGTCAAGATATGGTACACAAAGAGTGTTTTTGATCCGCTTATTATATCCATTTCTGTAATGATTTGATTACAGTGCCTATCTAATTTTGAATTCGTATGACGTTTTTTTTGCTGCTGAGTATATTTGCAATGGTGTAAACCAAAACGACAAACGAGGGTTAATTTCGAAAGGGGATCGAATTTGTAGCCCTCGTGTTTTCAGCCTGTTGTATTAAACACCAATTGACAGGCCGATAAATCACGATAAACTTTAGGAAGCGGACGTATAATATATTTTGCTGGTGTTTGTTCGCGGCACTCATATCAGAAATATTCCAGCTATATGGCGGCGGTCTGTAACTAATCGGGTTGGACCAGACAATCCAGTGATCAAGAGCATAAGCATCGATCTACGCAGCTGGGATACGATGACATGTATCAACCAAGTCGGCGAACCTGTCCGCGGATCCCGTTAGTCGCCTCTAATGACAAACATGGGTTCCTGAGCCCAGTTCTAACAAGGCTCTTCACAGGTCTGAGTTACAAAAGAGATTCTTTAAGAGATTATGTTCTTGTAACAGGCACGCACTCATCAGTAGTATTTTGTTTCTACATATATACAGGCACACGGCAAGGCACCCGGGCAAGATGACTACCCAGGGTAAAATGGGTGTGGCACAGAGGCTGATGTTTTGGAAACGACAGGACGGGAATTCCCCTGAGGAAGCGATAGAGCGCCTTCGCAATCTGCAAGAACTTCTGTCTAAAAAAACCGATTACCTTGAAAACAAAGTTGATTCAGAAACGAAAATTGCATTGGAAAACAGAGTGAAGAATAAGAGAGGTAAGTTAAATAATGAATCAAATTTCGGTTTTGGCAGGGAAAATGTTGTAAGTATTGAATCCCTTCAATGTCATCTGCTAAACATCTGAGCGCAGGAAATGTGTTACTGATGAAATTGATCTACTTTAGTTTACAACAAATTTCACCAAGAAACTGATTTACGGGTCGCTCACAGATGGTGTTACAGGTGTTACACAGATGGTGTTACAGGTGTCACACAGTATGTCGTTACAGGTGTCACACAGATGGTGTTACATGTGTCACACATTATGGCGTTATAGGTGTGACACAGATGGTGTTACAGGTGTTACACGGATCGGTTTGGTTATATCTCATTCATGCTTTTTCTGTCTCATGTACACAGTCACAAATCTCATCTGAAATAGACTGACTGACTGAGTTTAGTTTTACGCCGCTTTTAGCAATATTCCAGCAATATCACGGCGGGGGACACAAGAAATGGGCTTAACACATTGTGCCCATGTGGGGAATCGAACCCGGGCCTTCGGCGTGACGAGCCAACGCTTTAACCACTAGGCTACCCCACCGCCACTGAAATAGATGATGCTATACATGCTGCAGAGATGATGTTATAGATTACTTACTTATAAGTGGTGTTACAGGTGTCACATGAATGATGTATTAGGTGTCACGTGGTTGATGTTACATATCTCATATAAGTGGTGTTACAGGTGTCACGTGGACGATGTTACATATCTCATATAAGTGGTGTTACAGGTGTCATGTGGACGATGTTACATATCTCATATAAGTGGTGTTACAGGTGTCACGTGGTCGATGTTACATATCTCATATAAGTGGTGTTACAGGTGTCATGTGCACGATGTTACAGGACTAGTAGGTGTAACATGGATGGTGTTACATATCTATTATAAATGGTGCATGTTCTTACAGATAGAGTAAAAGTGGAGTTACAGGTGTCACGTTGATGTGTCGTTACAGCCGCACTCCAGGCCCTGCGACGTCGAAAGCGATATGAGAAGCAGCTGCAACAAGTGGACGGAACGACGGCGTCACTGGAGGTGCAGTTGGAGGCGTTAACATCGGCTTCGGTGAATGCTGAAGTCGTGAAGTGCCTGAAGTTAACGTCAGAGACGATGCAACGTACCTTCGGCAACATGTGCGTGAAACACTGGATAAGTCGTATCAACTGAATATAATAGAGCTATGCAACACTTTTTGTCAATTTTGGAAAGAAACACAAAAATAGGCCAGGGAAATCAAATGCAAAGATATTTTCTTTCACAATGCAGCGCAACTATCATTTAATATCCTTGGTCCCTTTACACAAAGTGAACCTGCTGATCGTCACTCCCATACTTTAACATAGACTTACGACAGTCGAAGGGCTCCGATCGCTTTATGGAACGGGTCGTGGGCGGTGGGCAGACAATAAGCCCACTGGGATAAAAAGCCCTCGGACAAAAAAAAACCCCTAGGCTTAATGCCCCCAGGACAAAAAGCCCTTACAAATTTCCACCCATAGGATAAAACACCCTCTGTGTTAATTTTGAGTTGACAGGTGATAACATGATGTTTTCTGAGCAATTCCTCCCACTGCTGACAGTTGTTACAGGCTGTTACATTATGCTTTTTAATGTCATATGATATGATATCATATCATCTCATCATCTCTCATATATCATATATCTCATATCATATCATATCATATCATATCATATCAGCTATTCATCTCTTCATTGAGGACCTTTTGTCCTACCCATTGAGGGCTTTTTGTCACGGGGGCATTTAGCCTAGGGGTGTTTTGTCTGAGGGTGTTATGTCCTTGTGGGCCTATTGTCCTACCACCGTCGTGGGAAGGAAAGGGTTGTGCAGGCTGGTGGTGGGAGGACTTGGGAGGAGACCAGAAAAGGTTTTAGTTTCACCTGAAAATCAGATACGAGGGTCGATCAAAAAAGTACGTAGCCTAACTATATTCTCGGTGTCCAATGTTTGAAAAGCTTCCATTTTATTTTGAAGGAATCGTTAGCAAAGCCATATCCTAAATTTTACATGTGTGGGTAATGTGGTTAACCAGATATTTGTCATCACAACACATTGGGGTATAATATTTCTAACAAAATTGCAGAAAATGAAAAACGATTTGTAGTTTGGTACCTCTTGGATAATGGTATGCCCTCAGATAATGTCCAATAAAATATGTTCAGTATAGTATTGGATGACTTCCCGTCATGATCAACAGTCAAAGATTTGGATTGCCTGATTTATATTTAGTCGGGGCTATTTTTTAAGGACACCCCCATTTTCATCTTTCAAAAACATTGTGTCCAGATATTCAAGCTGGCACTGCTTACAATATATTTGTGAGCTAACACTTGTGTGACCATTCAGTATTTAGTTTGAACCCTTGGCATCATGTATGCATAAGTGAATTAGAATAAGCTATGCATTAGAATAAGCTATGCACTTTTGATTACGTCGTCTGAAAGGGGGATGGGTAGTGTCTCTAAAAGAAGCTGTTTCAGTCAACATAAAAGGGGGAGTCTCTTTAACAAGCGATTGTAATTTCAAATTGCTTTTTTATGAATTTTAATATCTAAGTGTGATTCTAGGAGACTTCTATGAATCTCAAACACACCAAATATTTCTTGCATATTTTGCATCCTGAAGTTTTTGATGCATTTATTGTAGGTTTTGCGTTTTTTGAGGGTACCAAGATTAAAGGTCAAACAAAATGGGGATAGTGATACTGGAACATAGCAAAACCAAATTACTTGAGCTCCACAGATAATATGTAGAAAAATAAAACATAAAAATAACTGCATTTGTATCGTTTTCTTGGTGATTCTACATACTTCTTGATCGCCCCACGTAATGTATCTATTTCCTTGGGGTCACAATATTTGACTGACTGACTGAGTTTGGTTTTACGCCGCTTTTAGCAATATTCCAGCAACATCACGGCGGGGAACACCAGAAATGGGCTTCACACATTTTACCCATGTGGGGATTCGAACCCGGGTCTTCGGCGTGACGAGCCAACGCTTTAACCACTAGGCTACCCCACCGCCCTCACAATATTTGAAAGTCCTGTCATTCCAATGTATTATTCAGTACAATGTGGGAAACCTATTTCTGGTATCCCTGCCCGACATTTTGCTGGAATATTGCAAAAACAGGCGTAAAACCATACTCCCTCACTCATTAACCTGTGATGAGTGCAATATGACCTGATTCATTTAATTTACCTATGCCGTGGTCAGGACAGCGGAAAAGGTGGCGGACCTGAGAGATGAGGTGTCGGACATGATGGAGGATGCAGAAGAAATCGGGGGGATCCTTGCACGGCCTCTTGGCGGCGAGGAATTTGATGACGTATGTATAGCTGCGTAGGACATGTTTGTAGCAGGGAGTTATCTGATCAAAAATATTTTTTGCAAGTTTGATTTCTGTATAATGAGGTCTGGACCAGGCAGCTCTGCTCAATCTCCTATCATGTTACACACTCACACACATACCCACTCGCACCACTCTCAACCTACACAACCCGTACGGTACTGGTTCTACGCACCACTAATACATCTTCCGTCCACTTTTTTCATTTACTCCACACCCACACACAGTCAGAGCTACTCTGGGTTTTTTTCAGGATGATCTTCTGGCTGAGCTTGAGGTAATGGAGCAGAACGAGCTCACAGACAAACTGTGTAACATGCAGTTCCCTTCTGTGCCCACCGAGAAGGTCAAGGTAAAAGGTGAGATTTCTTAATATGGAACAGGTTAAACTGACAAGATCTACAAAAGGGACAACCGCATCAAAGACGTTTTCTCAAGAATTGTTCGCTTTAGGTCAGGAAACGTAGACTAGCCAGGCAGTCGGATTGAAATCCGGTTTGAACTGAACTCAATTCACCCAGGCTGCGAACTGCGGCATAACAGGTACATAAACAATATTTACATTTATACAACAAACAACATTAACGTTATATACAAACGGTATGATAGAAGCAATGTACATCTACCATGTTACATATTAAGGTATTGAGGTTATTTCTTAAATAGAGCCATAATTATTTTACCAAAAGTTTTCTTTAAGTTCCTAGCGTATTGGTGTTAAATAGGATATTCATTTTATACACATTTAGTTTAATATAACGATACTTGTGAATATATTTTTCTCTTTCGAATTCTTATTTGGGACAAACAAATAAATAATGAAATTCTAAAGTTACACAGAGTACACTTTCTATCATTTACTGGGATTCGTCACTATCAACCTGTCTTGATACCAAGAAAATGATTTGAAGTTCGAAATTTTAACAAGTTATTTGCAGGTATTGTTTAAAATTGATAGATGGATTTTTGAAAATGCTATAAGTGGTTGCTTTGGAAGTGGTTTCAATTGTTGCCATCCATGTTTGCTGATAAATGTCTTTTAATTTACTTTTGATAACAGTTTTAAGCCACAATATACTTTTTAAAAATTTGGGATTTCCAGGTGAAACTCAGTCCAAGATCGTCGAAAATTCTCTTACGGTAGATTAACCATTTATGTTCACATTTACCAAATATATAATCGTTGAATATCAATTAATAAATCAAAAAGCACACTTTTGACGATTTTCCGGATAAAAGTGTAGTCCGAAAACATACCATTCTGCTCTTGATAACTTTTACACGTGGGAATCTGCCAAACTCGCCATATGCCATAAAGTTAGGTGTACGTTTCCTAAGTGATGCTAAATATTTGAGAAAGCGTAGGTTAACATTTTCAAAGCAGGAAGTTCAAAACCCTAGACCTCACATCCATATAAAAGAATTGGCGTGACCATACAATCAAACAATTTTAAGTGACAATCATTGAAAAGTTACGTCTTCTACCTTGGCCTAATGCAAAGAACATTGCTTTTGCTGCCTTTTCAACCAGTATACATATGGTTTTAGTTTATTTACTATAGTTCAATGTGTGTGTGTTTCAATTTGATGTGGGTTAAAAGCCAGAAGTAGTGACCCGAGAAGTACCTAAACCTAAGCACAGTATCCTGCTGACAGACACAAGAAGCATAATCGGGAACCCGTGAAGATTCGGGTTAGAATTGTTTTTCATGCTTGTCATAAATGACTATTAACGGGGTCGGGTGGCAAGACTCGCTGACTTGGTTGACACATGTTATCGTATCCCAATGGCTTAGTTCGATGCTTAGTCTTAGAGTGCGGCGTTAAAACAAGCAAACAAGGCATAGTCAAGCCGAGATTCGAACCCTCGATCATAGGTTTCTAACCCAATTGACGCAACTTTTTTTTAACAAACTTGAAGAACTTGTTAAGGAAATGTGATTAATTGATACGAGAGGTGTATTTATTAACGAACATATCAGAGATCTTGCAATAATGCTATTTGCAGATAATGTCGTGATTCTTGCCGATTCTGTTGTCCAGTTACAATGCAAGATAGATACTCTAAATGAATATTGTTTGAAATGGGGTCTTCAGATAAATATTAGTAAAACTAAAGTAATGGTTTTTAAAAATGGGGGTAAAATCTCTAAAAGTGAAAAATGGTTCCTTAATGGCCAAAAATTGGAGGTGGTTTCATATTACAAATATTTAGGTATTATATTTTCGTGTAGAAATATATTCTCCAGAGCCTGTGAAACATTATCTATGCAAGTTGAACGAGCCCTACATGTCATAAAGAAATTCATATGCAAATATAAAGAATTACCTATCCATGCATCATTTAAACTGTTTGATGGAAAAATTCAACCAATTTTGTTGTACGGCTCTGAAATATGGGGCATTAACATAAACAAGAATATTGAAAAGGTACATTCAAAGTTCTGTAAGTTCTTGTTGCGTGTTGGCTACAAAACTGCGAACAAGGTTATTTTAGCTGAATGTGGACGTTTTCCACTGTTTATTAACGCCCGATGTCGGGTTATTTCATATTGGCTAAGATTGATGAGACAACCAATATCACGCTATTCAAGATGTAGTTATGAAAGCTTAAAACACTAGATAATACCGGAGATATTAATTGGGTTTCATTCGTTAGAACTATTCTTTTTAGTCATGGCTTTGGAAATGTATGGATCGCCCAAAATGTAAGTAATACACAATATTTCATCAAATTATTCAAGCAGAGATGCAAAGACATTTGTCAACAGGACTGGTATAATGAAATAACGTCATTAACCTGTGTAAACTTTTATTCAGAATATAAATATTGTATTAATACAGAAATTTACCTTTCAAAGATTAAATCACCACAACTTAAGCGTAGCTTACTAAATTTAGATGTAACGCTTACAACTTCAAAGTCCAAGCGGCGCGATTTGCCAAAACTTCAAATGCAATAGATATCCAATGTCCATTCTGCAATTTATCGCAAGGAGATGAGTACAATGTATTACTTGTATGCCTGAAATATTTAGAAATAAGAGAAACATATTTGCCTTATTTTTTCTATAACCAACCATCGAGACATAAATTCTGTATGCTATTTCGCACAGAAAACATTGACTTGTTGTTTAAGCTAGCCCTTGTGTTGTACCACATACTTATGTTGAGAGAAAAAATGTAAATTGTGAATGGGTGTTTATGGATTTATTGATGTTCCTATAACTCGTGTATTTACAGGTTGCGCATAAATGCACTGCTATTATTGTACACATGTACTATTGGCCTCAGGGCCACATATACAAATAAATATGTCTGTCTGTCTGTTAACAAACTGCGGGGCCTGAGACGACTCATCCTCGATAATCTCCAGGGTATACGTTACGATCACTCTCCACTGTACTATCCTGGATGCATCCACGGCTTTTTTGGATGCATCCCGATAATTATATTACCTCCCTTGGCTGGCTTTTCATCCAATCAGGTGTCTACACTGGGAAGTTGAGCGAACCAATCACAACTCACTTCGCTTCTTAAGTTATCTAACGGTTTAAACTTGGAACACAATTGATGCAGAGGTACTCTGAAAGAGGTAGGAGTTCTTTTATATATTTTTTGAAAATTTCAGATCTGACAATTTGTCTGTATTATTTCCTCAAAAATCTTAGTGGTACTGCGTACAAACCTTCGCGACTGCGACCGCTATCTTTGTTGACACTGGCAAGCTCGGATGTAACGGCGGCTTAGCTGATTGGCTACTGTGAGAATGCGGAACCAACCAAGGGAGGTAATATAATTATCGGGCCTTAAAGCCGAGAGTGATCGTAACGTATACCCTGGAAATTATCGAGGACGGAGAAGACTAACCCTGTGCTAGTCTGTGAGAAAGACAATGCATTTGAATGGATATAGGAAAAGTGAGTGAGTGAGTTTAGATTTACGCTGCTTTTAGCAATATTCCAGCAATATCACAGCGGGGGAAACCAGAAATAGGCTTCACACATTGTACCCATGTGGAGACTCCAACCCATGTCTTCAGCGTGACGAGCGAACACTTTAAGCACTAGACTACTTCGATATAGGAAAAGGAGGTATCTACCGCATCATAATGACTCCTTGCGCGCACACACACTCTAGCGTGCACACAAAGACATAGAGCGTGTTAACAGTAGGTGGGGAAGCCCAGTGGTTAAAGCGTTCGCTCGTCACGCCGAAGACATTGGTTCGATTCCGGACCACAAGGTTACGCTGTGTGAAGCCCATTTCTGGAGTACCTCGATTTTATTTTTGTTGAATATTGCTAATAGCGGCTAAAAATTATACTCACGTGATCACTATTAACATGTCCACTTTCATTTATTCCAGACGACAAGACGACCGGGAAAGAGAAAGAGGAAGAGGAAGAAAAAGAAGAACTGAGGAAGTTGGCTGAATGGATGTGACGTGGCTCTACAAGGGGTGACGTCACATCATTCTGTTCGATCCAGTGGGTGTTATCTCCCGTCTACTAGTATTTAATGCTAGTATTTTTCAGTGTAGAATCTTGTACTGTAGATGGCGTTTGCAGATAGTAACTGTTAAATACAGAAATGTATGTTGTATTACTATACAGCTTTACATGGCCTCGGCAATATTGCATGCATCACGATTTATTACTAAATTTAGTGATGAGATCTGTTATATGTATGCATATACCATTATATGTACAATGTATGTGGTAAGTTTCAATAGATGTCTTAAGTCTCAGTGTTGCCTTATTGTGTGATATATGACATCTAATAAATGGGTATACAACACAGCGTGACATGATGCCTGACATAGGTATGTCTGCTAATAGCGGGATTGACTGGATAGTGTGGTATATCTGCTAATAGCGGGTATGACCGGATAGGCGGGATTGACCGTGTGTATGTCTGCTAATAGCGGGATTGACCGGATAGTGTGGTATGTCTGCTAATAGCGGGATTGACCGGATAGTGTGGTATGTCTGCTAATAGCGTGGTATGTCTGCTAATAGCGATTGACCGGATAGTGTGGTATGTCTGCTAATAGCTGGATTGACCGGATAGTGTGGTATGTCTGCTAATAGCGGGATTGACCGGATAGTGTGGTATGTCTGCTAATAGCGGGATTGACCGATAGTGTGGTATGTCTGCTAATAGCAGGATTGACCGGATAGTGTGGTATGTCTGCTAATAGCGGGATTGACCGGATAGTGTGGTATGTCTGCTAATAGCGGTATTGACTGGATAGTTTGGTATGTCGGCTAATAGCGGGATTGACCGGATAGTGTGGTATGTCTGCTGATAACGGGATTGACCTGACTATTTGGTATGTCTGCTAATAGCGGGATTGACCGGATAGAGTGGTATGTCTGCTAATAGCGGGATTGACCGGATAGTGTGGTATGTCTGCTAAAAGCGGGATTGACTGGATAGTGTGGTATGTCTGCTAATAGCGTGATTGACCGGATAGTGTGGTATGTCTGCTAAAAGCGGGATTGACCGGATAGTGTGGTATGTCTGCTAATAGCGGGATTGACCGGATAGTGTGGTATGTCTGCTAATAGCGGGATTGACTAGATAGTGTGGTATGTCTGCTAATTGCAGGATTGACCGGATAGTGTGGTATGTCTGCTAATAGCGGGATTGACCGGATAGTGTGGTATATCTGCTAATAGCGGTATTGACTGGATAGTTTGGTATGTCGGCTAATAGCGGGATTGACCGGATAGTGTGGTATGTCTGCTGATAACGGGATTGACCTGACTATTTGGTATGTCTGCTAATAGCGGGATTGACCGGATAGAGTGGTATGTCTGCTAATAGCGGGATTGACCTGATAGGGTAGTATGTCTGCTAATAGCGGGATTGACATCAGGATTGGCTGGAGTTGAGGGTTTTTTCTCAGTGAGGTGTACATATGTCCAACGCTTCACAGCAGTAACATGTACAAAATCATCTGTCTGTGGGTCGTGTTATCCTCACAACATATTGCTTATTGTTCATGCATTGAAGATCATTTGCATTTGTACAGGAATATTAGATTATCACATATAGCAATAATACTACATAAAAAATGTATGTTATGTGTTGACTCACAAAAGAAATGGAAGGACATGTTTCTTGACAATGTGTGATCTTTTCTGTGAAATGAATGCATCTGCTGCTGTTTAATAGTTCAATGTTTCCCAGCCTTCTGTGTCAAAGTAGATTTAAGAATACAGCAGTCTACTGGCCAGCAGAGAAAAACTGATGTTGATATGATCTTGAATACTCTACAGAGTACAAGACCTAGAGAATTCACGGTGATACTAAACATCCCTCTTTTCAAGAAAGTAAACACACGGTAACGAATATAACTTCTAATATAAATGAGTGAGTGAGTGTGTGAGTTAAGATTTTAAGTCACATCGGCAATATTTCAGCCATATCGTGACTAAAGCAAGTTATAAATATATCGACAATTTAAGTGAAATTATAAAATTCATCATCTTCAAATCTGGACTGACAACCCAAGTAAGTGTAACCGATATAGGGTTTTATTGCATGTAATTTATTGATACCTACTTGGGTGTCCCACTTCTTTTGCATCAGATCACGGATATAAGATCTTATAGCAGCTTTGTAATCAGAGTATGGGATAAGAAGTGGTGTCACAGATTTGTTGAGTGCTGCCTTAGCAGCAATATCAGCCATTGTGTTCCCAGAAATGCCAACGTGGCTGGGTAACCAACAAAAGACGATGTCGCATTGGCCAGTAGCAAGTTCATTGAACAATTCAATAATTTCTAATAAAAGTGGATGTTTGCAAGAAAGATTTTTAATAGCCTGAAAACACGAAAGAGAATCTGAAAAGATGATATATTGTTTATATTTACGATGTTTATTAATATATTTAAGAGCTGTTAAGATGGCGTTAGCTTCTGCTGTGAAAATAGAGCTGTTATTTGGTAGTCGAGAAGATATTGTTTTGGATCCAATGACAGTGGCACATGCCACCGCGCCACCATCCTTGGACCCATCTGTAAATAAGGATTTATATGTTTTGTATTGATTTCTTAATTGACTAAATTCTTGTTTATACTGTAAATCATTTGTTTCTGATTTTTTAAATGTAGTTAATGTTAGGTCAACTTCAGGCCTAACCAATTGCCAAGGCGGAGAAGAAAGAAGACGGGAAGGAGCTATATGTTCTAGCTCAATGCCAGCAGCAGAAAGGAAAGGTTTCAATCTTATACCAAGAGGCGGAACAAGAGAAGGCTTCTTGTTATACAGATCTTCATATAGTGGATTAAAGACACAGTTATATGCAGGGTTTGACTCATTGGAATAAAGTTTTGTAATATACTGTAAAGTTAATTTTATACGGCGTTGTGTAAGAGAAGGCTCATCTGCTTCAACATATAGACTATCAATAGGAGAAGTTCTAAAGGATCCAAGACAAAGCCTTAGACCTTGGTGGTGGACAGAATCAAGTAGTTTTAGATTGCTTTTTTGCAGGCTCCACCATATACGATGGAGCCATAATCAAGTTTCGAGCGGACCAATGATCGATATAGGTGGAGGAGGGTAGCTTGGTCCCCTCCCCACTTTGTGTTAGAAACTACTTTCAACAAGTCAAGTGCCTTCAGGCATTTAGTTTTAAGGGATTTAATATGTGGCAGAAACGTTAAGTGCGAGTCAAAAATTAAACCCAAGAACTTGGCCTCCTTAACAACTTTGATGGATGTGCCATTTAGAGATAGTTCAGGGTCTTTATGCGGTTTGTATTTACGGCAGAAATGTATACAATTTGTTTTGGATTTAGAAAATTTAAAGCCGTTTTCCAGACACCATTTATTTATTTTGTTTAAACTTAACTGCAGTTGTCGTTCAATAGTATGCATATTTTTACCACGACAAGAAATATTAAAATCATCCACAAAAAGTGATCCATCGATCGAATCATTTAAAATCTTGGATAAACTGTTGATCTTGATACTAAACAATGTGACAGACAAAATACTGCCTTGTGGGACACCCTGATCCTGATTGTAATGATCAGACAGGGTAGATGCCACTCGGACTTGAAATTGTCTGTCTTTTAAAAAGTTAGCTATAAATTGAGGCAAACGGCCTCGCAATCCGAAGCCATGTAAATCTTTTAAAATGCCATATTTCCACGTGGTGTCATATGCTTTTTCAAGATCAAAAAAGATAGACACAGCGTGTTGCTTGTTAATAAGAGCATTTTTAACAAATGATTCCAAACGCACTAGGTGATCGACAGTACTTCTATTTTTACGGAAACCACATTGTATATCTTTTATAAGGTTATTTGTTTCCAAGTACCAAACAAGTCGATTATTTATCATCCGTTCCATGGTTTTGCAAACGCAGCTAGTTAGGGAAATTGGCCTATAGTTTGAAGGATCAGTATGATCACGTCCAGGTTTAGGGATGGGCCGTTTATAGCATCGCGCCAGGATGAAGGAAATTTTCCAGATGTCCAAATATCATCAAAAATAGATAAGAGCGTCTCTAAACATGAGTCTGGTAAGTGCTTCAGGAGTTGATAATGTATGTTATCAGCTCCGGAAGCTGTATCATGAGCCTGGTCAAGAGCAGTATGAAGCTCGTGAATGGAAAAGGTTTCATTGTAATCTTCCCCATTATCTGAATTGAAATTAATAGCTTTCTTTTCTTGCTGTTTTTGATATTTTTGGAATTCAGGTACATAATTAGACGAGGAAGAATGTTTGGCCAATGTCTCACCAAGTTTATTTGCAATATCTGATTTATTAGTCAATAATTGGTTCCCATCTGTCAAATGGTGAATGTTAGATTTAGAGCCCTTACCTTTGATTTTCTGGATCATATTCCACACCTTTGATATTGGCGTGCGCGAATTTATTTTCGATACATAGTTTTGCCAAGAGTGACGTTTATTTTGCTTAAAAGTACGCCGTGCTTTAGCATTTAAAATCTTAAACGTGTTCAAATTATGAACCATGGGATGTCGACGGAAGTAATGTTCTGCCTTTTTCCTTGCCTTCATAGCTTGTTTGCAGTCATCGTTGAACCATGGTTTTCTAATGTGTGGAATTGCAGAGGACTTAGGGATGCACACATCCGCTATGTTATTCAGTTTATCAGAGAAACTCTTTATAGCATCAGTAACATCAATGAAAAGTTCAGGTTTAAGTTCGTCAGCACACAGAGTTGCATATAAAGGCCAGTTAGCCTTTTTGAAATTCCATCTGGATGATGGAGGAACATCAGATGGGGCTACTGGTTTTAGAACTGTAGGAAAGTGGTCGCTCCCACAAAGGTCGTCATGGACGGACCAATCAAATTCATTTAGGAGATTTGAGTCAGTGATGGACAAGTCAAGATTAGAATAAGTACCAGTACCAGGATGGAGATAAGTGTGTGAGCCATCGTTATAAATGCATAAATCATTGTTTGAAATGAAATCTTCAAGTAACTTTCCTTTATTGCTTGTATGCATACTGCCCCAGAGTGGGTTATGACCATTTAGATCGCCCATAATGATGCAGGGCTTGGGAAGCTGGTCGTAGAGCGCTTGAAGATCAGTAAGTTGAAGCAACGATGTTGGAGGAATGTAAAGAGAGCACAAAGTAAAAACAATGTGCATAGTTATTCGAACTGCAACAGCCTGAAGATTTGTATGAATTAAAACGGGGCTGTGGAGAACACCCTGCCTTACGAAAACAGAAGATCCACCCGTAGCTTTAGTCCCTG